GGGGGGGGGGGAATAAGAAAATAAACAAAGAAAATAAACAGCTCTGATTTTGAAAGTTTTTTTTGGGTAAAAAAGAACTTTTTAACAATCTTTTAATATTTTTTTATGCCGGATCAGCATCAAATAAAATCAAAATTATCTATGTATGTAAGTGCTACCTTTTATGACCATTTCTATCATTTCTGGATCTTCTAGATCCGGTCCTCCGGCTCCTGCTCCGACTCTTGCTCCTACTCCTAGATTTTCTCCGGGATCTAAAATATCAGACGTGGTTTAGAATAAGGAAGACGAAAAATCGACTTTGGCTTAAGTTGGCAAACTCGAGCATTGAAAAACTGGTTCTTAAAGCTTTAAATTGGAAATGGAATACTTATCAAGTTGGAAAACTTTGTATCAAAGTTGGCTAATTTAGTTTAGAAGTTTTAAAGGTTTAATGGAAAACTAGTCTTATAATTGGAGGACATAGTCTAAAGTTCGTCACTAAGTTGGAAAACTTAAGTTTTAAAGTTAGACAACTTAGTTTTTAAAGTTGGAAAACTTAGTTTATAAGTTGGTAAACTTAGTTATCAGTAAGAAAACTAACAGGGTGTGTAGTAAAAGATGGAAACTCAGGCCCATAACCAGGGGGGGGGGTGCAAGGGTGCAGGCACCCCCCTTTCTTCTGAAAGGAGGGTGCAATGACGAATTTGCACCCCCCCCCCCCAGTCCCATATAAAAGAAATTGTTTCTCATAATTTTCTAAAATCTAGTTACCAATAATATATCTCAAGCAAGAGTTGATTCCCTTCCCAAACCAAATTATAATCTTATTGTGTGTTACTCATTAAAAGTGAATGTGTGTGTCAAACTTGACTCTGAAATCAAGAATTTATACAAAGTAAAACATCCTTTAAAGTTTGAACAGTTGGTTAAAAGGAAAAAATTCATCCATTTATTTTGGAATAAAATAGCCATTTTTGGGAGTTTCAAAAACATTATTTTAAGCGAGGGTTTTTTTGAGTACTCAAAATTTCACTAAGAATGTCTCAATGTCAATAAATAAACTCTTTTGAACAAAATATAAGAAATTTTATTTTTTAAATCTTATTGTGTGTTACTCATTAAAAGTGGGTGTGTGTGTCAAACTTGACTCTGAAATCAAGAACTTATACAAAGTAAAACATCCTTTAAAGTTTGAACAGTTGGTTAAAAGGAAAAAATTCATCCATTTATTTTGGAATATAATAGCCATTTTTGGGAGTTTCAAAAACATTATTTTAAGCGAGGGTTTCTTTGAGTACTCAAAATTTCACTAAGAATGTCTCTATGTCAATAAATAAACTCTTTTGAACAAAATATAAGAAATTTTATTTTTTATTCATCTTCATAATATCATGATGAGGCCGAGGGACAAAAAGCCTTGATTTTAAATAATGAATTTTTTTCCTTAAGCTAAAGTACCATTAATTTATTTTTTATGTATATTGTATATGTAAACTGAAAAGTTTCAGACACTAAAATGTAACCCTTATTAAAGCTTAAATACACTTGTTAAAAAGGTTAGTCTTTATAGCGTACATTGACAATGTAATAAAGAAAACCATATACCACCGTAAAAACAAACCAAACATTGCTTTTTAAAAAAAAACTTTAAAAAATTTTCGCCTACGGCGCGCTTCTTTGCAAAAATCCTGGTTATGGGCCTGTGGAGACTTTATAAATAATTATACTAGACTTAAGTTGGATAACTAGACTTTATTTGAAAACTGGACTTATTTAAGAAAACTAGACATGAAAGGTTTTTTAATAATTATTTCACCTATGAGACGATCTCTCTCTTCTCCTCCTCTTTTTCCTATCTGAGCTTGGTAGATCTGGTCCAATCGGGTCATTGTACTCCTTCTTACGCTTTCTACAACAGTCAGGCATAAAATTTTTTCCAAGGGTGTAAATCTGGGGTGTCCATATAATTCCATCAAATACGATCCCAAGTGTTTATTGATTGATATTAGGGGCAGAAATTAACCATGATGTTTTTGTACACAATTAGAAGTATGACGTCAAGTTATAGAAAAAGTTCCATACAGAAGAATGTATACTAAAAGGGATTGTTTATACATATTTTCGTATTTTTCCAAAAACAAAAAAGATAAATGGGGGGAAAAAAACTGTATTTACCTGAATGTGATCCCATGTTTCCCCTCCTGATCTGATTCCCCTCCCCCGAAGCTAGTGATAAACTCCACCTTCTCCTCCTCGCCATCTTCCTACATTTTTCACAATAATTTTTTTGAAAAAATTACAAATAACTACGAAATTATGACGACAGTAAAAATCCCGAATTGAAAAATTCCGAAGAAAAAAACAGAGGGGAGAGAGCAGAACAGCTGGTTAAAAGAAAATCTTGATAGTATTAGATCTATTTACCTCGCTTGAGTCAGAGTCGGACCTGGAGTACGATCTGGATTTAGATTTCTCTGTCCTTGCAGCAAAGGACGGAGGACTGATCGCCCGTCCTTCTAGACGTTTCTCCTGAAGTAACAAATAAGATCAAAATCATGATTAGTTGAGAATTTAGATCCAACTTTAAACTTATTATCTTGCTTTTAAAATCCCCATTTTTCCTCGTGCTCTGCAATAAACAAACATTGTCGCGGATATTTCAGTTTAAATTGGTGCATTTTCAAAATTATATTTATTTAGGCGCCCCTGGGCGGTTAGATTGTGTGAAGAGCTGCGGAGCCCCTGGTTGGGAGTACTGCTTGTGTAGTGAGTGTCTGTACTGTAGCTAGGCGCAGCTTTCTTGTCCCTGCCCCGGCGTGGGCTGGCGGCCCGTGCCTTTGTTTCTCCCTCCCTGCCGGTTTTGGCCAGTTCTTCTCTCCCTCTCTCAGCGTCAACATCACTAGAAAGCTAAGCTATTAAGGACAGCACATTTTCTTAGCCTCTTAACTTAAATTTCTTTTTAAACTAATTCACGTTCCTTCAATTTTTTCTTTGACAACAGCAACTTTTATAAGGTGTTAGATTTCACTTAATTAATTTTAAGTTAAAGATTTTTAATTAAAAACATTATCTTAAGTTTCACTACCCTACTATCAATTTCATTATAATTAACAAACTTCCTTTTTACTACTTCAATGACAACTGACTTTATTAATTTAATTCCATATTAAGTATTAAATTCTTTAGTCTTTTCTTTTTCTTGATAGTAATTCAATGCCTAACTAAGTGTGTTGTTTCTTAGTGCATTTATCCTCCTAATATGGGTCCCAAGAAAAAACCTAAGACGATCAAAAGTAACCTTTTTGCGGGCTCTTCTCCTCTAACAGTCGACGATTTGAGCCGTCTTCAAGTGGATAGCTTCGGTCCTCAAGCAGCAGTACTGCTGGATGACCTCAACTGGTCACAAGAAGTGATTGCTCTAACTGGTTTATCCCCCCCCCCATCTAAGCATTTTGAAGAAAATAATTTGAAGCAAATTGGTCAGAATTTTATAATTTTTCAATAAAAGTATCCAAAACAAAAAGGAATAAGAAAAAATTCTAATAAAAACAATTTCACTTTATTACCTTAGCAAGCATTCTGACGAAGTCCTTCTTCCCGAGCTCGAAGCCTAACCCGATCATGTTCAACTGATCCTGATCTTCCGTGCCTGAAATTAAGATCTGTTAAAGCAAAATTAGTGTCAAAATAGTGTCGTGTCTAAATTTCTGGGAAAAGCCATTTTATAAATGTTTAAAAACCCAACTAGAGAAATCACGCACATGTTTAGATAAAAATCAATTACAGTGTACAACCATTCTTTGAGCCACATGTCCCGTTTAATATTACCATACCTAGAGCCATCATGTCCCATTTAATATTACCATACCTAGAGCCATCATGTCCCATTTAACCATACCTAGAGCCATCATGTCCCATTTAATATTACCCTACCTAGAGCCATCATGTCCCATTTAATATTGCCCTACCTAGAGCCATCATGTCCCATTTAATATTACCCTACCTAGAGCCATCACGTCCCATTTATAATTACCCTACCTAGAGCCATCAAGTCCCATTTAATATTACCCTACATAGAGCCATCTTGTCCCATTTTATATTACCAAACCTAGAGCCAACGCGTCCCATTTAATATTACCCTACCTAGAGCCATCATGTCCTAAATTCCCATTTAAAATTACCCTACCTAGAGCTATCATGTCCCATTCAACATCATCCTACTTAAAGCAATGCCGACCTAGAGCTATCATGTCCCATTTAATATTACCCATAAAATATTATCTAGTGCCATCACGTCCCTTTTAATATTACCATACCTAGAGTCATCATGTCCCATTTAACATTACCATACCTAGAACCATCATGTCCCATTTCATTTTGTCCAACCTAAAGCCATCACGTCCCATTTAATATTATAAGAGCCATCAGGTCCCATTTGATACTTCCCTATCTAAAGGCATCATGTCCCATTTTTTAATATTACCATATCTAGAGCCATCGCCCATCACGTCCCATTTAATACTATCCAACCTAGAGCCATCACGTCCGATTTAAAATTACCCTACTTAAAGCCATCACGTCCAATTTAATATTACCCTACCTAGAGCCATCACGTCCCATTTAATATTATTAGAGTCATCACGTCTCATTTGATATTACCATATCTAGAGGCATCATGTCCTATTTATTATTACCTATAACTAGAGCCATCACGTCCGATTTAATATTAGCCTACCTAGAGCCATCATGTCCGATTTAATATTACCCTTCTTAAAGCCATCACGTCCGATTTAATATTACCCTACCTAGAGCCATCACGTCCCATTTAATATTACCATACCTCGAGTCATCACTTCCCATTTAATATCATCCTTTCTAGAGCCATTACGTCCCATTTAATATTACCCTATCTAGAGCCATCACGTTTCATTTAATATTGTCCTACCTAGAGCCATCACGTCCACATTTAAATCGAAATCTATTTCACTATCAGAATCTGAATCTGAGGGCTCAGGTTCAGATTCTGGTTCAGCACCCGTAGAGTCAGCATACACAAATCCTAAACAATGAACATATGAATATATAATAAATTTTTATGTTTATTGTATACTAGTTAATAATAACTGTTGAAGACAGCTCTTGGGAACATAAATCCCTTTACCGGAAAATGATGGTGGGGGGGGGGGATAAAGTTAACAAGCGGCATTATTGATTTTATCAAAATATCAAATCAAATTTTAAATCTGTAAGGGAACCCAAAGAGGAAGCCCAGACTGCCTCCAGGACTCTATGCAACAATATATCAGGGCTCCTCGGTTGTTTCCAGGTTAATTTAAAGAGAAGGTAAAATAAGTTTGCCGTGGAAATTGTTCTCATAAAATTTGCGATGTAAGATTTGTAAATAAACTCCAGTAGAATAACTTAATAATTTTACCGATTGCAGCTTTACTCCCAGCTTTCTTTTTGTCTTCTTTAGCCTTCTGATTCTGATATGTTGTTCCACCATACCTAATATTTAGGAATAATTTAAGAAACTCACAGAAATGTTTTGTTTTATTGCTTAGGAACCATTAAATTTTGTTGCGGATCCGGAACCTGAATCCGCTCTGAAAACTATAGATCCGGATCCAAATCCGGATTATGAACATTTCTTCAAGATTTACATCTTTTTTTAACAAAATTATAATTTTTTTCGCTTAAAGGAACTTTATAAACAATCCAGGGAAATTTTTATTATCTCTTATTTCACAGCAAGATTTTAGTTTTAGAGCAATACATAGATCTGCATATTTAGGCGGATACGGATCCAGGAATCCTTGAAATGGGATACTAAGCACTGGTTATATGCATGTAACTACAAGTGTGTTGACATGATACGCACGAAAACTATTTGGAGAAAAAATGATTAAAACTTACTTTTCTTCGAGATCAATCATTTTTAAAAACTTCTCTTCCTGAACAAAAATGAAATATCAACAATTTGAACTTTGTGGACAGCTTCAATTTTAAGAAGTCTAGGTTTGGTTTCCATTAATTTCATAAAAGTTTTTATTTTATTTGTAAATTCTTTCTGGCATTTAAAAAATAATAGAATGCTTGCATAGCTAAGAATACTGAATTTAGATCTAATCTAAAACATCGGATTTGCATCGATTTTAACCGTATTTGATTTGATTTTATGTTAATTAAATGATTTCTTTAAAAAATCATAGTTTTTCACAGACAAACAGACAGANAAGATAGTGTTTTGGTTTCACCATCAAGCGATGATTTTGAATTAAAATTGATGGAATTCGGGACGGGGAAAAGTAAATAAAACATTGCTTCCTTTAAACTTAAATGAGTATCCAACAAAAACTCGATAATAATTATACAAAATCCTTTCAAATATGGGGGAGGGTTAATGTTTAAAGGGGGAACTTGGGTAGGAAGTGATTTTATGGTTTCTTTAAATTTTTTTCTTCAAATTCCATCGTGTATTTGTCTTTTTTTAATCACTTATCCTTAAAATTTTTTTAGTCAACTGTATTTCCACTGCACCTGTCGATAAGAATAGTTTTATCTCCGTTCCATGGCATCATATTAGTTGGACTATCCGCTGCTAGCGCCATATTCACGTCCAGGTGGATCTTCAGTGGCCGGCCGTGCACCTGATTTACATTAGCAACACTTTCATTTTGATCCATTGTCGCAAGGGTGTATATTTTCCAAATAACCCCCCCCCCCATATTGGGATTTTTTTTTGATTTGGGAGGGAAAAAGAATTTCGACATAAAAAATGTATGTTTTTCGCTCTTGTTGATATTTT